GCACCTTATAGACTAACAGAAGTGTTGGAGCATAAGCTTTCATGGGCAAAGACCAACTTCGTCAGATGCAGTATTAACAAACATACAGTTATGACCACAGACTAACTCCATGTTGCCATACCTGGGCACAAATTGAGCCCTGGATGCGGGGGTTGGAGGGAGCAAGGGAAGCAGTGGGAGGGCCAGATATGTAGCTGGAACCTGAAGTCCCAGAGCCTGGGACCTGCCACTGCAGTTGGAGCTTGAATGTCTTCAGCCAGAGGCTGCTGCCTTGCCTCTCCAGAGATGAAGCTCAAAGCTCAAGCCCCACTACCCTGGGAAGGTGGGGAATTCACTGGCTGCCAGCTCCTCTAGTGTTGTGCCCCAGGTGTCTCCAAAGTGGGATAGGGCCCAACCCTTTCTGGCAGCGCTAGCAGTTAACACCAAGGTGGTACATGTAAGATCAATAGGGAAACAATGGGACCACTATTTTTTGCACCCTCCATCTGAGCCCAGGTGGCTGTTGCTGCAAGAAAAGCACCTTGTGGCCGCATTTGGCCAGAGTAACTGCATTTGAGAAATGATGCTAAACAAACTCAATCATAAGTCATTCAGCCAGAAAAAAAACCCCAACTACCACCAACACTACGAGAGTGAAATTTCTCTCAAAGACTCAGCCAAATTCTTCAGTCGCCCAAGTTCCTCCCAAAAGAATCTAGCTGAAAATCACTTACCCTTTTCTGCCCAGAGGCACTATGGATCTTAAACATAGTTAAGAGTCTGGAAAGACTACGTGCCATGGCCTCTTCTGAGTTGCTTACTATTTTCATGGTTCTCACTGCAGTTTTCAGTGGCAGTTGTAGGACTTCAGGTGGGAGGCCACATTTCAAGAAGGATGTGGACAAATTCAAAAAAGTTCAGAGAAGAACAGCAACATTGATTAAAAGTTTAGAAAACATGATCAGTGAGGGAAGATAGAAAAAACTGGGTTTGTTTAGTCTAGAAAATATAAGATTGAGAGGGGATGTAATAAGTTTTCAAGTACAAGAAAGAGAGAGAGAAGTTGTTCTTAATCTCTGCGGATAAATCAAGAAGCAATGGGCTTAAATTACAGCAATGGAGATTTTGGTTGGACATTAGGAGAAAATTCCTAACTGTTAGGTGATTAAACACAAATTACCTAGGAAGATTGTGTGGAATCTCTATCGTTGGAGTTTTTTAAGAGCAGGCTGGACAAGCACCTGTGATGGATGGACTAAATCGGGGTGGGCAAGTTACAGCCCGTCGGTCGGATCCAGCCTACCAAGTCTTTTAATTTAGCACATGTCCCACGCCTGTGGCATGGAGCAGTGCTGCTCAGAGTGGCTAGCTGCTCCCTGTGGCTCTCTGCACTGAGGGGGAGGAGAGGGCCAATTGGAGCTGAGAGACTTTGATTTGGGTGGGGGCAGCATGCAAAGCCTTCTTCCCTGTGCAGTGCAAAAAGCCACATGGAATAGAGCAATCTGGGGCTGCTGGAGGCAGGAAAGCCTGCCTGAGAGTGTTGCTAGCCAGGAGCTGCTTAGGTAAGCACCTCCCAGCCAGAGCCTGCCTCTGGCACCCCCTCCTGCACCCCAACTCCCTCCCAGACCCTGCACCCCCTTCTACATTGATCCCCCAAGCTAAAATCCTCTCCTTCACCCATATCCCCTCCTAGACCCTGCATCCCAGTCTCTTGCCCCAGGCCACAATCCCCTTGTTCACCCAAACACCCTCTCAGACCCAACACTGCCTTCTGCACCCCACTCCTCTACCCTAAGTTTCCTTCTGCACCCAACCTTTGTCCCAGACCCCACACCCTCTTGATAGAAAAATGTGACCCTTGACAATTTACCAAAATCTTAGAGTAGCTCCCATCAAAAATTATCATCCACCCCTGATCTAGATGGTGCTAAGTCCTGCCACGAGTGCAGGGAACTGGACTAAATGATGCTCTAGGTCCCTTCAGTTGTGTCTACACTGTAGGGCTTAACTCAAAATAAGCTACGCAAATTGAGCTACATCAATTGCTTATCTTATTTCGAAATAGTTTATTTTGAAATAAGGAACATCTACACAGCACTTATTTCGAAATAGAGACCTCTTTGTCTGACTTTCCTTATTCCTCATACAATGAGGGTTACAGGAGTCAGAGTAAGAAGTCCTCCAGCTAGACAGTATTTTGACACTATTTTGAAATAACTGCCTGCTGTGTAGAGGCAGACTAAGTTATTTTGGAATAGTGCTAGTTATTTCAAAATAGTGCTGTAGTGTAGACGTACTCTTCCAGTCCTGTGATTCTGTACCTTTTTTTTAAGCAATATACTTTCTCATAGATGACACTGTGTACACAAAAGTAGTATTCTCTGAAGAAATGTCTTCACTAAACTTACTGTAAGTTTAGCTTACTTTAGTGGTGGTGGTTCTTATTTGTATAGCGGAAGGTGCTTAGTGTGTTAGGTGCACTGCTTTACATTTGCTAAGGAGTTGTGTTGGCTTTTTTACTTGTACCTACCTTGAATTCAAATGTGGTGTTTTGTACAGTATTGGCTGCGTTTTAAATATTGATCAATAACACAGTGTACAGTACAATAAGTACAGGTCTAGTTGCATGGCAACAGTTGAAATGGTATTGCACAACACCTTTGTGATTCCAAATCTCCTCTTTGAATTCATGTTCAAATTCCAGACTACATTCTTGTAACGTCCTTAATGTACATGTTTGCCAGATAACAAGTTCTGAACTTACACAGTAAAAAATTAAGCCTTTCCTTTAGCCTTCATTCTTTGAAGTGATTGTCTTCTTCCATTGGTTTTTCCTTGATTTTGTTCAATTTTATCTCACTAGCTGTTACTTTTCCCTGTATCTCACTGAAAACTAAGATTTATTTTTATTTATTATTATTTTGGATTAAATGCTTACCTGTTTTCTGTCCCCAGGGAACTAGTTCAATTGCCTTATTCATATACAGGTTGGACCTCCCTGGTCCAGCACCCTTGGGAACTGACTGGTCCTGGATGAAGGATTTTGCAACCAGGGAAGATAATTTTTGCCTCCCTTCCTACTAGCCTCATCCCCTGCGCTGCCACTCCACTGGGCTTCCTGGTAGCCCCGCTGGGCTGTGCACGGGCCTTCCCGGTCTCCCCCAGCCCTTCAGTCCAGCTGCGGTTCCCCCAGACAGCCCTGCTGGGTTGCATGTATGAGGCTTCTCACCTCCCCACCCCAAGCCTAGCTGAGTCACACATCTGGCTCCCGCCCCCAACCCAGCTGAGCCACAGTCAAGCTGGGCTGCACACTGGGATCCCGCTTCCCTCCTGCATTGCGTTGGGCTCCTGGGCCCCTCCACCTTCAGCGTGACGGGACTCTATGGTCCTGGAATAGTCGTGGTCCACTGGACCAAAGAGTCCCAGTTATAGAGGTGCTTTATACCATAGGTTTGTTTGGATTTTGCATTCATTTGCTGACATCTTAGTCCAAGGGACTGTTTCAGTCCTGTATGAGGGGGGTTTGTGTGCACGAATTCACCTCCCATGGTCCGCCATCGGACTGATTCTGGGGACTCAGTTGGGGAAAGGCAGGGATGGCACATTTCCTCAGCCTCCCTTTCCTGTGCTCTGGCCAGCCGGGGGAAGGTAGAAGTGGAGCACTTCAAAAACCTCCCTCCCCCATGCTCCAGCTGGCCGGGGAAGGCTGGGGCTAAATCCTTCCTTCTTCCCCTGAGGAGTGAGGTCAGGGACAGGGCAGCCACCAGCTTCTCAGACAGCTATTACCTGCCCCACAGAAATTCCTGTGTACAGGCCTATGTTTTATTCCACAGTTGCTCCTGTTTCCTTTCAGTGGATTTTCAAAGTGAGCAGAATTCGCTTCAGTTCATAGCTCTTTAATCAGTGACTTCAGACCAAAACCAATCATATGTACTCAGAAGGGGAAGTCCCTCTTCTCACAATTCCTAATACAAAGTGACTGTTCAAAGGGAACTTTTTTTTAAATTAACTATTACTTACCCATTGGATTTTCACAAAGATCAGTCTTCCCCAACCCACCTCCTTCCCTAGACCCCCACCCACACCAAGATTAATGATATCCTTGCTGTTGCTATAAATGCTAAGTAAGACTTTTGTGTGCAGCAGTATCTTGTGCTGACCTGCTATTTCCTTGTTGACCTGGGACCAGATTCTCTGTTACATAGCAATTTGCACCAGTGTAAAGTGGTTGCAAATCATTGCCATTCTGATTTAGTAATGTGTATGCCTACTTTGCACTAATGTAAAATGTTACACAAGATGCAGGGTAATGAAAACGGGGCCCCACATTATTCTTTTCCTGATAGTGCTAATAGGCTGTTCTCCTAGATATACCTATATTGTGAAACATCATCATTTTTTAAAAGGCAAATGTAAACTTAAAGGGGTTTAAAGTGATGTTGCTTCTTTTAAAAATAATAAAAATCCTATGTTGTCTTTTTTGGAAACTGTTTTTACAGCTGCAATTAAAGGGAGAAATTGGAATGCATATATATTTAGAAGGCAACTCTTTTTGCTAAACAGCCTTTCACAGCAAAATATGTGACTTCATGTCATACATGCAATACTGAGGATAACCCAGCAAATCTTCAAGGAGAAATTTTAATAGTGGGCTAAATTATTACTCTTAAGGTGCAAACGATATATTTGAGAAGGGGTCATTTTCATTTCTAATATTAATTGAAACGAACATATGGAGAATGAGCTTGGAAAATCTGCTTTCATCAAATCTGAATTTTGGCTTTAAAACATGGAAAAGTGGGTTAAATGTATGCTAATTATGAGTTCTGCAGTGAATTGATTGCTGACTTGAGGTCTGCGCCTTTATCTGTGTTGCATGTTCTTTGAATTCAGCTTAATGTAATATTTTAAATTTTTTAAACAGCAGATGTGCATTGCTTAAAGATTTGTGTAGATGTTGATGCATGTATACAGTATGTCTTCTGTACAATGATCTGTTGACATTATCCTCTGTTGCTTAGCTTTAGACAGTAAAGTCATGACATGTGCTGCTGTTTGGAGGATGCCGAAGGAATTGGAATCAGGCAGTCATGAATCCCCTGATGATTCATCAAGCAACACTCAAACCCTGGAGCTACTCTGTCACCTTGACAACACAGCCCATGGCAATATGGCCTGGTAGGATTCTGCATATTTTATATTCCCAGAAAAAGCCTTAAGCTCTGCTGTAAGTTTTGTGCAGATTTATATCGTAGAAGCTGGATTATAAACTTTAAAACTATTCTAGCTTAAAAAATGGTACAAATTATTTTTTTTGGTCCCCGATATTTCATAGATTAAAAACATGTATTGTAGTCCCTGTGCAAAAAAACACATGGTAAAAGCCTGTTTGTTGTGCGTTTTCCCCTTGCACGTAAAACCTTTGTTGCACACAGATACGTCACTTAACATTTCAGTCTTTATACAGAAAATAATTTTGATATCACATTTTTATCTTTTTTGGCTGCATTTTGCTCTATTTGGTATAAATAGAAGTAATTGATTAGTTATTGGGAGGGAAAGATTTAATGATGTTACATAGTTCCTGTTCTTTTCAGTCAACTACAAATTTATAATGAGGGTTGAAATATTTCAGTGTGGTGATATAGGGGTCTTTTTCTCTCTCTCTTTTGTTATTTGATTGAGAGGGTGAAATTTGCTCACTGTATATTCATGAGCTTCTACCTGTACAGGTATCTGCATAGCATAGAATCATAAAATCACAGAACTGGAAGGAACCTCGAGAGGTCATCACTCAGGGCAGGACCAACCATCATCTAGTCCTTCCCTGACAGGTGTTTGTCTTACCTGCTCTTAAAAGTCTCCAGTGATAGCAATTACTCAACTTCCATAAGCACTTTACTTCAGTGCTTAGCCACCCTGACAGGAAGTATTTTCTAATGTCCAACCTAAACCTTCCTAGTTGCAGTTTAAACCCATTGCTTCATGTCCTATCTTTAGAGGTTAAAGAGAATAATTTTTCTCTTTCCTCCTTGTAATAATCTTTTAGGTATTTGAAAGCTTTTGTTATGCCCCCTTTCAGTCTTCTCTTTTCCATACTAGAATGCTTCTGTGCAAGGCAATAGAATGTTGATACCCAAGCTGTAGGTTTGGTATCTACTATGACTTTAGGGACATTTTCCACTCCTATACCAGCAAGCAGATTACTAAACATAGGAGAACTCTCTGCACTGTCTAATATTGTGTGTGCGGATCAGCCAGAGCATGCAGCACTAAACAAAGTGACATGATCTCACAGCGTACAGACCCTTTACATTGTCAACATCAGGGAACTTAGAAGATAGCACCCAGAAAAGAGAGGAATGGGGATAGAGAGGAGGACAGTGCAAAATTACACACTTACTCAGTGTTAGATGTTGCTATATGACTTTCTTGTGGTAGTCTATTGAAATTGCATCAAAGAAAAGAGCTCTTTGACTCAACCCTGTTTCCTCAAATTCTGCCCAACCTTTTCGTAAAACAAAGCGCATGAGCGCATTTTCTTGAAATAGGCATTAAATTTTGGATCCAACAACTTACTCTTTTCCAAGTGTTTTAGGAAACTGAGCAAAATGTCATGTTCGTTTTAAATTATGGAAGAAAGATGAAACTCTGCAGGGAGGGGACAGAAGAGGATGAAGAAGAGATGACAGGGAAAGAACAAAAAAAACCCATGTTGGGTTTGAGTAACTTGGCATGGATTTTGTAGACTGATGCTCTCTTGATTTCAAATCTTTTCCATTTGTAAGTGCTGCATACTATGTCTATGATCTGTTAGCAAGATGGTTTCTTTCTGACATGTAATAAATATTCCAGAATTAGAACATGGATAACAATTCCCAAGCATTCATGTGGTAGAATAGAATAGTGTTACTTTTGCAGGGTGAACAGGTATATAGTGCAATAAAAACTGTTTTTTCAAAAAACTGAAAGAGATCACTTTAAGTATATGCAGAGAGCAGACCCGCTATGTGAGAAGATCACATATTAGGGAGATGGGATATTTATCACTTCCTTTTAAATCCATTGTAATTTTCTCCTAAGCATGCTTTTGGTTAGCAATCTAAAGAATTGAAGTAAACTGTAAAAATACAGTTAGTACTATACATTATAATCACTGTACTAATACCAAAAAAATTCTTTTGTCATGGGGGGGAGGGGAAGGGGAGGAATTAAAGTTTCTTTATGGATTGAAAGAAGTTTTTGTAGTGAAAGAATTGTCTAATTTTGCTCATTGAATGGAAAATATAAGTTTTCTTCCCTAATCAAAACTATGTATTTACTGTATTTTTAATTAAAAATGGTTCTCGCTTAGAGTCCTATCTTCACATTGCATTTAATGTGTGAAATCCCTTTTAAATGGTGGGGAGAAGATAATCATAAAGATCTTACTACGTTTGTAGGAGTTGCTTCTTATGTTTGTACTTGAAGTTGGTAGGCAACTCAGCTAACCATTAGCGACAGACTAACTGGAAATGGAGTATCTACTATATTTATTTTCCCACCAATATTAGTTTCTTTGGGGTAGCCTTGGGTTTATCAGTTGGTTAATACAGGAATAACCCAATGTATGAGTAAACAATGTTAGATTAGTTCTTTTCAGCATGAATACCTTCTGTTTCTCTCTGTGACTGCCCCATATCCTTCTAATTAGGAGGGAGCAGAGCCACCAAAACTTTAATTTATACACAGAAAGTTGATTGAAAAAGACAAGCATTTGATGCCTTCCCAGAATATACCAACCAGTAAAGCTCATGGGAATATGGGATTGAAGTCAATTGCAACAAATTATGCTAATAACTAGAACTGGGGACAGTATAAATGCAGGTGTCTGACTATTTCTTAATAAAGGCAGTAGCTCCTAATGACTGAAAATTAAACCTGTATTTTATTCAAAGAGAAGATTTCTTATTAATCCTCACATAACTTTACAGTGTGGGTTTTAATTATAAAAGAGGCTTATATTAGCTCCACAGGAAATAGATGTTCTTTAATGAGATGGTCATCTTGCTATATATTTTAGAAATGTGTATCTGTCTGTCTATCCATCTGTGAGTCTGTTCAAGAACTCCTCCTAAACTATAAGAGCTAGGGCCACCAGATTAGGTATGCAGCTTCCTCTTATCATGACTTAAAGCAAGGTAAGGGTTTTGTTGTGTTAAGACAATTTGATGTGCCTGGAATTGGATCCTTTCTCATAAAATGGAAAGGGAGGTATTTAGTAGGAGGGCATTCTACTGGAGATGGACCACAAGGGGCAGCAAAGGGCCAGAGAGGGAAACTGGGCCAGCAGGAGGTAGGTCCAGAGAAAGGGACAGCTGTCTACTATATATTTCAGAGAGATTGTCTGTTTTGTGTGTCTGTTTCTCTGTTCCTCTGTCCCTCAGCCAGGGGCATGCACCTGTCTCCTAGCTGTGCCTACTGCAGCTGCAGTGGCCTTAGATAGGTGTTTCTCACCTAGCCCTAAGTTGCTACAGTGAGAGGGCTGGATAGTCCTCTCTTTCCCGTGGCAGTCTGCATGCTGAACCCTCATCCTCAGCCCCACTCCAGAACAATGATTTAAGTGAAGAAAAACAAAACTTATTTGAGTTAAGGACCTGAGCAATGCCGAGTAAATCTTCTAGTATGATATACTTACTGAAATCCATGCTTAGTGTACTCCCAACTTTCACAAGTTATGATCTTGCCAGATCTCTGAAGCTTAAACTGTGTTATCCTTAACTTATAGAGCTATCTAAAGAGTATGCAGGTGCTTCATGTGTTGATGATTCAGAAACTAGATCCCTTTCTTTTGACTGGATATTTCACTTTATAGCAAGTTCTCCTCTTTTTCCTCTTGCCCTTTCTCAGGTCTTCATTGTCTCTCTTCTGTTCTTGCCATTGTGTTTTCTTTTATGTTTATCTGTAGCATATAGCTCTTTCTTTCATTTTTATTCTAAAATGGGGTTTAAGAAGCAATCAGGAAAATTTTGGAGATCTGAAAACCTGATAATTCTTTTAAGAGATCTAAAATCAAGCAGTTTCCTCTTACTTCTCTGTGACGTTTAAGATTAAAATGCTGTACTAAAGGCCATCTTTTTCATGATCTATCAAAGTTTAGTGTATGGGGCAAGTGAATTATACCACTTTTTTATTGATTTACTAGAACCTTTTCCATACATATTGGATTTTCCTTTGAGGTCTCTTATCCAAGGACTATCTCAGCTCGTTCTTTCTCAGCTCTCTATGGTAATCTTTTCCACTCACAATTAAAGTGTAACAGCTTCATAATATTACTATATGAAATGTATTAAGGCCCCAATTCAGGAAAATTAAATCCATTCATGACAGCACTTGATCATATGCTTCACTTTAAGCCTGTGCTTAAATCCTATTGAAGTTAGTGGGACAGAATTACATACTGACAATTGAGCATATGCTTAAGTGCAATACTACATAGAGATAAACTTAAGTGCTTTCCTATATTTATTAACCCCATAATGTAAGTTTGTTTTCTTTTGATTTTTTTAAATTTCATATGCACACACAAAAATGGAATAAACAAAAACTTGGAATGGAAAAATGTTTTTCATAATTTTAATCCTTTGTATTGCATACAGGCAATATTTTCAAACACTAATTATAAATACATTTATAGCTAAACAGACTCATAGAGTTTAAGGTCAAAAGGGGCTATCATGACCATTTAGTCTGAACTTCTGAACATTTGAGGCCACGGAGCTTCCCCCACCCATTCCTATAATAGACCCATAGGCTGAGTTACTGAAATCCTCAGATCATGGTTTAAAGACTTCAAAATTATACACTAGTTGAAACCTGCAAGTGATCCATGCACCATGCTGCAAAGAATATCCAAGACCCTAGCAGTCTTTTGCCTATCTGACCCATGGGAAAATCCTTCTTAACGCCAAATATGAGAGTCTTTTAGACCATGAGCATGTAGGCAAGACCTACCAGGTAGCTACGTGGGAAAGAATACTCTGCAGTTACTCAGTGCCCTTCCCCTTTAGAGTGCATCTACGCTGCACCCTTAGCTCAAAATAAACTACACAATTTGAGCTACACACCAACACTTAAATAGCTTACTTTGAGTTAATTTTGAAATAGCTTATTTTGAAATTTGGCGCTGTCTGCACAGC